TCGCGTAATTTCGTATGAGAAATTTTCTCTCGGATCGTTTCTCTCTTCTATCCTCATGTCCCTGCCTTTTACGAAATTATTGCAGCGCATTATGCAACTTTATATTAGAAAACTTTCCCGGGTCAACTGTTCGCGTGATATTTCTCGGAATATTCGATGTCACACGAGTATAATTAATGTATAGGTAATGTATTCGTACACCTTACGAAAATGTCGAAAATTTTTAAAACCGACTGTAACAAATGTTCATCATTTAAAAAAAAAAACAAAAACAGAACTGTACAAAAAATATTTTAATATAAATTAAATTTTTCGGCTTTCCAAGAAAAAAATTAAATTTTTGATTAATATTAAAAAAAATCTTTCTCTTTAGGATTACCTATTGATTAAATTCTTAATGTCAAATTATTATACACAGTTTGAGATGCGAAGCTGTAGATAAATCAGAGAGGGTGTTAAACCCCTGTGCATGCAGATTTAACGAGTAGAGGGAGAACGCCACAAAAATCCGATTGTCGTCGACAATTTATCGATTATCGGCAATCCACAGATTTATTGGCCGCCGTCACTTCCATACTTTCTTGATTATTTTTCTTTATTTCTTTCCGCAGTCTTGACTTTTTTTACGATTTCACGCGGTCGTAACGACATTCTTACCATGAATGGAAAACATAGTTACGTCAGAAATTCTCTGGTTTCCACTTTTTTATTTTAGCCTCAAAATAATTCGAAGTAATTTAATAAAAATATAAGTGAAAACGATTTTTTTAACACTTTTAAATCTATTTTAACACGCTAAATTTATTGATTACAATTTCAACAACTGTTAGATCGACGAAAATAAATCAGTAAATGGAGAGAAATAAACTATATTTTCAGTCTTGCAACACAATCATAAGCAGAACTAAAATAATAGTGTATCCAGGGTTGGAAAAGTCACTTTACGAGTTATTTATAAGTTACTTTTCAGTGTAGAAATTGAATATCTACAATAAGTTCAAGTATCTTATTTTTTATATTATATTTTATTATTTGCTCCAATTTTGTATTACTGTTTATACTCAATTTCTATAACAAACATATATAAGGTAACATAAAAGTAACTTATAAATATAACTTATAAAATAGCTTTCCCAATCTTGGTAATATCACATATTAAATTGATAATCAATTTAATAATTTTTGATGCTAATAAGCATCTTCGAATGATAGCAATAATTTGATGTTAATTTAAGCATCTTAAGAATTGTAAATAATTTAATTTATTATGAAAAATATTGTCTCATAAACTGCAATGATAAATATTCATTGCCACACAAATGCGAGCGTATATATTTAAATGTATATATGTAGATAAAACCTTCTCTCTTTTTCTCTTTTTCTCTTATTTTTTATATGATATCTTTCCTATTTCTAACAGGAAATATGAATCTAAATTACGTCGAACAAGGTATTATTTTTTATAAAACGTACATTGCACGTTGCGGCGTCGTAATGCTCGCTGTTGTCTTTTGCTTTCTCCCTTTCTTTCTCGATTTCAACGTTCAAACGAATGTTCATCTTCGTTAGCGTGGCCACCTACGTGCCACCCTGCATCCCCATGTATCTCGTCATTTGCGATTCAGGCTTGCCGCTCAGTTACGCAACACGTAATGCAATTTCTTCGAACCGTTTCTTCCGTGTATTGCAGAATGGAACGCTTGGAAAGAAGTATCAACGTTTTTATAAAGCTTCCCATCCTTCTCCCTCTTTTATTATATACCGTGTCGCCATTCGTTGTCATTTTGTAAAGCCGTAATCACACTTAGCGATTGCTAACTGAATTGCGATTGATGATTACTTTTCTACCAATCAGTCACCGATTGCTCTGATTGGTTAAAAAGTAATCACAATCGTGGGATCGCTAGTGTGATTACGATTTTAATTAAGCCGTGATCAGACCAGAGATTGAAATTGAGATTGATTGGAATTTAATCAATCAGAAGAAAGACAATTTCAAGGTTAGTGAACTTTGCTTTGATTGGTTAAATTCAAATCCACGACGATTACTTTTCAACCAATTAGAGCAAAGCAATCGGTGACTGGTTTGCTCCGATGGCTTAAAAAGTAATCATCAATCACAATCACGCCAGTGTGATTACGGCTTTACACTGTCTGGAATATACCTTCAATCGACAATCGCTAGTATGACTACGGCTTAATGGAAACGGAACGAGACGCGAGATGCTGCGGCGTGGAAATTCTCCTCGGAAACTCGCCGGGAAATCGAATAACAATATAACGATTTGTCGATGCGGCGTCCTTTGACTGTCGATTTTGCGACGGTTAAAGTATGTTCTCTCACATTTTTCCATTTTTTTCTCGCTTTAGCGTCAGTTTCTGATCACCAACAACCATATTTTTATTACGAGCGCTTGGAAGTCCCGCAAAATGGAATTTTCAAATTGAACGCTGTGATCGCGGAGGAAACAAATTGCGTAATGACGACGCCATGCACGTAGTTGCGATTCTTGCGGCGATGGCAAACATTTTTCTTTTCTTCTTCTTTGATCCTTCCTTACTTCACCTTTCTTCGACGAAGTCGCGCAAGAAAGTTCAGTGCTTACGCAAAACGCTCGCCCACATTTTTTAAACTCCGCTTTATGGGTAATCCCGTTGAATACCTCAATTTAACTTTGATGTTAGTAACGTTGCCTTCGTCACGCACAAATCTTTGTTTGAAGAATTTCGCAGGGACTTTTTTAAATTAAATAAAAACAAAGGAAAGACGTCAGCTATATACAGGTGTCGTGAAACTCGCGAATCAGAATACCACAACAAAAAAGTTTTCGAAAAATTAAGTTAAAAAATTATGTACATTTTTATTTCAAGCAGTAGTTTTTGAGATATGAGGATTTAAATATAACCAATTACAGATTACGTTTAGATGGCCATTTGTCCATGAACATCAGTATTAATAAGTGCGCACTTCAGCGTTTAAATGTAGTCCGTAATTAGCTATATTTAAAACCTTGTTATTTCACAAACTATTGTTTCAAATAAAAATTTACAAGTAATTTTTTTACTTAATTTTTTGAAAACTTTCTAAAACAGTAACATATACCAGCAGTATTAAAATTTAATTTCACGCTTAACAATATAAATATAATATAACACACATCGTACGTAATAAATTATTATAGAGTGTGAATTGATGTTATAATACTGTTACTTTGTGCTTATTGGGTTACACGAATTTATTGTAACAATGTAATAGTCTAATAGCGAATTCAATTGGGCGCACTCACTGCGCACTGGTGAATATTAAAGCCGTTATATAAATTGACGTAAAGATATGTGTGTGTGTTTAATATAAAAATAGGTTAAACAGTGAAATCCTCAATATGTTTTATTTAATACAAATACAATTATTGTATTTTAAATAAAATATCTATTTTCGAAATACTTGCATTTTACACTCATTGTCAATCAGATTAATCAGTTCAATAACAACGACCTTAATATGCACTAATGCGCACTAATGCGTTCCAATTCGCTATAAGCAAATAGCAGAATCAAGATTTATTAGGGTACTTTATTGATATAATAGGCATGATTTGTCGAAAAAAATGTAAAGAATTTAAGAATAGAACGTTGCGACGCGTAAAGGGTACCAAGTAGAACGTAGCTTGATCAAAATTGCGAACGGTCGAGGAATATATGCTGTACAAGTATCGACAAACTTTCATGCCGGGCTCATGATCTTGCGGTGATGACAATCTGATCCCGTTCTATTACAAAGTGATGGAGAAAGGAAGACGTTTCTGACAGCTGTCAGGTGGATCCCTCGCCGTGTCCATTTTGCACACCTCCATCAATCTGATCAAATCGGAAGTTTTATGCAGTCCTACATGAAAAAAACCAAGACTTGCCTTTCTCATTTTTCTCCATGGTGGAATCAGCAATCAGAATCAGAATCTGATTCTCCAGCATGATTTTTTCCCTTATCCCCTCTTTTCCTTTCTCATTTTATTTTTGATGTGTCACTGGAAGTTGGGACTTGATAGACTCTCCAACGGTCCAGATTCTTTTTTCCATTATTCGGAGGCGAACAGGATCACCGCGAGTTCACGATTTCGTGAATCCGGAAGCTCCGGCAGTATCGATTCGTCAATCATTCAGCAAAATTAACCGTCACTTAAGCCTGTTTTCATAATATATGGTTACCTAAAGGTTAAAGGTTACCAAAAAATTCAGATGAATCTCTCGGGAATCTTTAATCTTTAGGTATAATTATATATTGTGAAAGCGCGCCTTTCTCAGTACGTACAAGAGTGTGGCATACCTTTAAAAAATTGTCATAACTTAAAAAGATGGTTTCTAAAAAAAATCATCAGAATTGTCACAACTTAAAAAAATGTGGTTATTTAATGTGAAACGAAAAATATATTCTTTTTGTTTGAAACTCGCGCATCTGTAGAAACCAGAAATTTTACTGTTCATTCCTAAGTTTTTTTTATATTTATCTCTATATTAAATATAATTAACAATTTAAAAAAAAGGATTTTTTGTGATTTTTGTGACTTTTTAAAAAATTCATTTTTATTTCCTATTGTTTAATATTTTTTGAAATTTACATTTTCGGCAACTTTATTTATATAAGGTTCTTCTATAGACCCTCCAGAACAAAGATTTTACAATACATAATGACTTTAATAGGTGCATTTTTAACAGAAAATTAGGAAGACTTAAACATGGACGAGATACGTTAAACCTCTATATGATTATGACGAAAATGAAAATCGTGCGATAAGCGAGATTTTAAACAGGGAAATATAAATAAATCCGAAGATGATTTCTCGGGATTCGAAACGTCGCTCACGGATTTACCGTTTCATAAATTCAAAAGCTTCGGAGTTTGCTTTCGAACATCGACTTTCCAGCTCTTTCGAATATAATTTTTCAAGTCCTTCCGGTTCGCACTGATCTTTAAAATCGCGAAATTTTATCTTTCTACTTACATTCACGTTGTTAAAAAATCTGGCTTTATCTTTGTCGATCGTCGGCATCGCTGCCGAATATTCCGCCAAGACGAAGAGCATTAATGCCAGAGCAACTGTGCTTTGTACGGACAGCATCATTCCAAATCTGGGAACAAGCGTGAAAATAAATTAATAAAACTGCTTTTATTAGTTCTAGTGATTTGAAAGAGAAATATAAAAAAATTGACGCAACTTATAATCCCATATAAACCCATAAACGTGCTAAAAGTAATTAAAGTGATTAACTGGACAATAAAGAAAAAATTTGGCGTGTATTAAAATGCAACGTCCCACAATTGTTTCATGATATGAAATTTATATATTGATAATATATAAATGTAAATATATTTACAGAAGATACAATTAACCTTTAATTGGATAGGTAGAGTGGTCACGGTGTATAACTTTCTTTAGTTCTGGAAAAAAAAGTATTGTCCAGATATCCAGAAATCTTAGAGTTCATTATTTTTACGTTCTTTTACCTCATAAGGATATAACTAATGTAAATTTAACTATATAACATAATATAGTAAAAAAAAATATACATATAATTATATTCTTTATATTCTTTATATGGCTATAAAATTAAATTCTTTTGAGGTTCTGAGCACCCTACCTACCAATTTGCGTATCTTAAGCCTCTTATCTACTTAAATTAATTAATGTAATCCAGATACGCCAAGTTTCTTCTTCGTCTTGAAACAAGCGTTAAAATGATCAAGTGACAACTTGCACAAAAGTTTTGATTGTCAAGAAAGTACTATCCGAGAATAGACACAGAAAAATATATACATACACTGTGTATATAATACACTGTGCGCAATTAATAATTACTTGTTTTAAATATTTCAAAAGTTCATGTATCTGCAAATCTACTATAAGTTGACAAAAGCATGAAATTTATTTAAAATATATTCTGAATCTCCTAATAAGTTTAATTAAAGTTTAATCGAGATTATTAAATTAAAACAAATTCGATTTGCTTATAATATAAAGTCGCTTCTTCGATCAACTTTATAATATTTGTAATAAGTATATTTTAATTTGTAATAAGTATATTTTAAAATTATTATCAAGAAAAGATTCTTAAAGATATACTTAAAAAGAAGAAAATAAATCGAGTAATCACTTTTCTGAGCAATAGAATGATATTTTTCTGTGTGTAGATGTCACTAGTTGATGATCACGCGGCACCAAGTATTTTGTCAAAATGAAAATCGATTGTTAATTATTAGTGATTGTTAATTATTACCAAGCTGTTAATGACCTCTGTTACACGCTTAATCGGGTTTAATAACATCCGTAGTTATGAAATTGGCCAATCATAACTGTTCCTTGGAAGAATGGAACGACTCTGTGATTGGCCAATTTCATAACTATACAGATGTTATTAAACCCAATTAAGGGTTTATTAACATCCGTGTAAATGTAATCAATGATGGCAGCGTAAATTCGTGACGGTATTTAAAGCAAGCCTAAAAATATATAAATATATGAATTCGCAAGATTTCTGTTTGAATTAGAAAATTACCAAAAATAATGTTGCATCTCAACAGTTTTAATTGATAACCTTGATGTTAATTATAAACGTTCAATCGTGTTTTACGTTCTATCTTCTTGTTTCACATATTCCGAATAATACAAACAATGTTGATTACCTATAGCGATAAAATAACGCTAATGAATTTAATCAACTAATGGTTTGAAAATCAAGTAGATATATCTCTTTTTTTCTTTTTCCCACTATTTTATGTCGTGATAAAGTAAATAGTAATATTTTATTTCTTGATATTATTTACTCGTCCACTTTCGATGGCTCGTTAGCAACATGCCTGGTAATTGTTCGATACTTCCTGACGTTATGTTTATGTTTTCATTATTCTATTTTATTTTTCAATTTCTCATTTTCTATTTTTATTTTTGTTTATTTCTTATTAATATTAACACCAATATGGTGTGAATTATTAATATTAAAAATATCGATATTATTGATATTAACTTCAATGTGTGGTGAGAATTATAATCATATAAAAAGAAAAATTATATAGAAAGAAAGAAAAATAATATATAGAAAAACCAAAAATGATGTCGAGCCGACACCAACATTTTTTAGAGTATTTAAACAAATTTTGTGTCTACTAATTTACTGTGCGACGCAAAAATAACCGGAATACCAAGATTCCTTCCGTCCCGATGGAGGAATGTAATGAAAGGTCGGCGAAAGGAGTACAGACATCAGATGCAAGTACATTGGCGGTGGGGAAAGGGCGAGAGAGAGAGCTAAATGAAAAACGAAGCCCATCACGAGTGAAACTCGCCACCCGTGGTCTGTTTCACAATCCACTAATTGGAGGAATAAACGATGCGCATTATTGGCCACACTGTGCGTATCAGATAATTGTTGCGGCCGTAAACGTCGCCGCCGCAAAGTGGCGTGTTTGAATTACAAAGCGCCGCGGCGACGCGGTTTGCACATTACGAATTTAATTCATTAATTAGAAAAGGTCATCACGATAATTCGAACGCGAGATAAAACGCCGGCTAATACGCGTTTATCGGGCTTGGTCTATTAATCCCGTCGATGTTAAAAGTGCAAGGCTGAAAATGTGATTGATAAAATACGACATGTGCGTCCAAGATTTCGAGAGGAAAGAAAAAAAGAAGTGAGATAAAAAAAGAGAGGAATTCAAAGTTAGGCGCGTTAAAAGTTAACTTTCGAGGATGAATTTCACGATGAACCGGAGGGATTCGATCATATGGAAGAATAAAAAAATACTTTCTATAAAACATTTTTATTTGACGAAGTTATAAAATAAAAAAGACTAAAGAAAAGATTTTTATGCTTGGACGAATTATTTTAACAAACATAGCCAATTATTAAAACGAAATTATTAAGACTTGTCGAAAGTTTTAATCGGGTCTTTTCTCCGAAATCTCTCCTTATTTTATGATCTTTTTTTGAAAAATACTCGTAGTAAATTTATTTATTTAAGAACGAGAACTTAATAGAATTGACAGACGTAGTAGATTTCTTATGAAGAGTTACTATAAAGAATCTCAACTTATCTATCTTATTCTATGTTAAGTTAATTCATTTGAGATATGATTACAAGTTATCGACATCAAATACTGTATAAGGAAACACGACGAATAAACAATAATATAATTTTTAGACCGATATGTGAGAGACACATATACGAGAATGACGTTGTTTCCTTATATATACCGATTATTGCGAAAAATATTACTAAGGCCTCGATAGTCTAATGGCTCAGGACGCTCGTACGAAATACAAGAGATCCGGGTTCGACTCCCGGCCGAGATAATATTTTTCGCAATAAGTTTAATTACAGTTTTTTCAGCATATTAACATCTTTGAAATATGATGCCTGATTGAGCATCGAAATTATTAGAATTTAATTTAATTTGCGAGATTACTACAGTGGTTTAATTGTGTTTAGTCCGGAAATATTTCGGTGCACAGTTCGTTAGACTACAATTGTGGTACGTATGTCAAGTACATATAGTATATATCATATTTAGTGATTCAAGATTGAATTTGCATTTTTGAATTTGCATTTTAAAATCTAACTTCGACCGATATAGGGCTCTAATTTATCGGTTGTGTCTTTTCATTCTGTTTTGATGTTCCCAGACGTTGTTACGAAAGCGACGTCCGATTATAAATGGACCTTTTCTATTGCAGCCACGAACGTCCATTCCAATTTATAATCCATTTATTATTATTTTATCGCTTGCCATTGTTTGTTTTACTATTTTATTATATCTCCTATTTAGCATTAGAAATTTCCTTAAAAGAACGGAAATCAATAATGATTTTAATGATTACATAAAGAGTTTAGATGATGAAAATTACAAAAATGAGCGAATTTGCTAGAATATTTATAATATTATATTGATCAACATACCTAGTCAATTTGCTCGTTTTTGTATATTTTTATCAAGTTGTGTAATGCACAATTGAACCTCAGAAGTGCATGATTTATACTGAAAAAATACTAAATTTTAATAAATACTCGTTTGAATAATTCTAAATAAATATTTATTAAATGTAAACATGTTTATTTCATACAAAAATCATTAATTTGATTTAATTTTTTTTTATAGAGTAAAAATTTATTGTTAGTAAATGTTTACTTGTTAGTACTAAATTTTTTTCAGTGTAAATTTTTTTCAAGGATCGACGACGAAAGTATGTCGTACACGTTTTACCATTTGTACCTCATTTCACATTTGTACGTGTGCGGCTTTTTACTTTGCAACGAAGGAAACCCTCATGGTATAAGAAGCGCCTGTGCAACCGTATTATTGCGTGAAGTAAGAAAATAACGAAATAAGATCCAATTTATCCCCGTCTGTCCGCCTGAACGCGACGAACGGTTAAATTATATTGTGACTTGTAAACGAGGTCAAAAAAATCGTGTGGGAATTCGGGAAGTTTACAGTCTTGGACGTGGATTGCCTTTCGTATCCTCTGAAGAGTGATGAAAAAATGTAACTAACACTTGCAAATGAATTCCCTTTTTATTTAATTTTAACTCAGCGTCCTTTGAATTTGTTAATCGCAGGATCGACGATCGAACATGAAAGTCCTTGAATGCATTCCGTTTTACGCTGATATATCATTTTCACGATGAGTGTTTCCATAAAAACATTCGAATTAGCTCAAGGAACACATCAAGAGACGTCAAAATATCTTCATTTTAACGTCACGAAATGATGATTTTTTATTACAAAATTTAAAGACTGTTTATTAATATTTATTTACATTTTTATATTTTTTACGTTATCGAGAATCCTCGTACAATTTCTTTGCATAAACTCATTAGCCCTTCAAATATTCATTAGCCGTTCATTTTATTTAATTGTTGAATTTTATTTATAGGAGCTTCGTCACTTTTTTAATTAAATTTCAATTTCTTTATATTTATATAATATTTTTGTATTTATATATTATCCTTGTTATTCACTGAATGTTAAACAAGGATGATACATCGTACGCATCATTCATAAAACGGAACACACCTTTTTGAGGTCGCACATTCATGAATGTGATTTCGATTGAAAAATATCCAATTTATTATTCACTGCCATTTATCTATCGCTATATTATTCATTCACGTCCCAATTGATATAATTTAATTACTTCATTTATAGATAATGACGTTTAAATTTATAAATTTGTTTCTATTGACACTTTCCCATTCGCATATAATTTATTTCTACATAATTATTCTCTCTCGTGCCGGTATTAAAATTAATAGTTCATTGATAAGTTTAGAATTAATTTAATTTACATCTGCGTAATAATTAGATTTCGCGTTAGGAATCGAGAGGTATCTATAGGAAATGTTACGGGAATTCGAGAATTGTGTTCATAATAGACTACGAAGTAGATTAGTAAATTACTACGTAGTTATAGACTATTTCGTCTCGTACTTGTCGCGACCTTATTATATTTTAAAAGAATAAATGAATAATCTTGGGGATGATTCGTTCGATCACGATTTTTGGAGTTAACGAATGAATGAATCGTGAAGAGGAATCTTTGATCTCAATTCAAGAGATTCTACGTTCAGCGCATGTTATTATAACAATGTCTGATCATGAAAGTCCTCTTCTACTGACTCGCGCGTAAATCTTCGTTTCGATTTTTAAATATACTTTATATCCACGTTCCCTTATTACTTTTTATCTAGTTTACATCTAATTGTTTCTCCCCTTTCCTGTAGAAGATTTATAATTATATAATCTATTTAATTTATGTCTGAATAATTTTATGGATTTTATTAGGAAAAAAACGGTATGCTGAAGTATTTTAAAATTTAGTGAGATACAGATCTGAAAATAATTTTATAAGATCTTTAAAATAATTATGTTCAAAATAATTATATACTGAAAAAGAGTTTGATAATAGCTACTAAATATTAAGTAAAATAATTTCAATCAATTGTTCAGTTGTAATATGGTATAAATAATCAAAAATATTTGTATTTTTCTATCCACGTTCCCTTATTATTTTTTATCTAATTTACATCTAATTGTTTCTCCCCTTTTCTGTAGAAGATTTATAATTATGTAATCCATTTAATTTATGTCTGAATAATATTCTAAATATTTTCTAAATATTCAGCAATTGTTATCAAAAGATTGATTATATATATTATTATGTTCGATAATAAACTCACTAAATATATATATTTGGAAGAGTAAAATTATATTTCTGGATATATTAATCGAACATTTAATTAAAATTTCATTCATTATTGTTTACTTCATTCAACATTTAGTAAATACTTCTTTTTTCAGTGATAGCATGCTTAAACTGGATTACTAAAATGTCAAAACTTCTTGCACTTATCATGCTCGAGCGCCTTACATAATTATTTAGAAGTTTATATAACAAGATTATTTTTAAATCTATGTTTGATTAAATTTTTAAGTACGTATTTTAGCAAAAATGTTTTTTCAATATAATTCTTTCGCGTATGTATGCGAGCAAGGTCCGATCATGATAGTCTCTTTCTACTGATTACTACGCGCGCGTATCTGCGTTACGATTTCTATACACAAAAAAAGTATGTACTGTACGCACCCTATAAGCGCATAATATTATTTAATATTAAATAATATTTTAGGCATATTCTCAGAATATTAAATATAACATTTTAATAATATTTTACTAAAATTATATAATATTAAATAATATTCCTGAAATATTAATGGATGGTTATATGTCCACTCCTAATAATATTATATGATTATTAAAAGTAACATTT